ACTCAACAGGCAGATGTGTCCCAGAATGGATGTGAGACAGGAGGCATGGAGATCCTGTTCCCTTCACCACAAACGGTTCCCTAAGGGCAGCACCTCACCCCCTCAGCACACTCACTGTAAGCCGAACCAACTTATATCTGCCTGGGGTTCATTGTTGGGAACACAGATCTGATCTTGTCCTGAAGGAAAACATGGCATTGGTCAGGTAGAGAAATGCTCCAGTATTATACTTTGTGGGCAAGTAAAGAGATTTGCAAGGGCAGTTTTCATTATATGCATTTTCCACCTTCCAGGAGGGCTTCTGAATCCTGCCGCTTGCATTAGCAGCAGCCCCTCTGTGCACCCTACCCCTTCACCCAAGGCCTCACCTGATGTGGACAGGGCTCACAGTTTTCTTTCCTTGTACCATATAAGGCTGATATCCCAGGGAACATGGACCCAAATGGTTTTGACCCATTAGTGATGAAAAACACATCACAGATAACCCTGAACTGGCTTTATGTGTGAACAATGACGACACAGCAGCTGAAAAATGGAGAGGCACAATGGGGTTTTGTATTTATGCCTACAACCACAAAACGGCCTAGAATTAAACCCACACTCACGAAATATCAGAAGTGACATGCTAATAAGTGACTTCTCTTAGCCATCAAATTTTGAGAGCTTTGGCAACTCATTTTAAGGAAAAGTACCTGAAAAAAAAAGAAGGACAACTTAACTGTACTTAGAATTCAGAGTGAATGAAACTATATTAACTATCCTGGTCTGTTAAAAATCACTAAGTGTTCCAAAGAGTTTTAAGAAAGTAGCACAAACTCTCTTTCTACTTATTCATGAAATATTTCAGATTTAGCTACTCATTCTTCAGACAGTTTTCAAAGTAAATTCAACACATCTAGAATCAAGAACAATTTGTACTACAGTGTGTGGGTTGGACTGACATCTTAAAATGAAATGGCAGTTATCAGATTTTTCAAGGAACAATGATCAGGTGATTTTTCATGGAATTAAGTAAAGCTTGTCTGAATGGTATAGGGCTCACAGGAATGTTACTGCACTGAGCTTTTGGAGTGACTCATTAACAATGCAGTTCAACTCTCAATGGTGCTCTCAAATTATCCAATCTCCATGAGGAGACACTGTAATTATAAGACCCAAATAAACTCTTCCCACCTCATGCACATCACTCCCATTTCTGCCCCAAAGAAATCAGGACCAAGTTAGAAGCTCTTTCCTCCAGAAGCATTCCTTCCTCTCCTTGCCAGTGGGAGGTGACTTCTTTTTCCCAAATCTCATGGCATAAGGCAAATGCCTCATTTTCTCAGTTAAATGACAGGTGTCTAGAAGGCAACCTCCATGTCTGGTTGAATCTTGTACCCTCTGCCTCCTCACCAAGTAGAGCTCCCAGCAAAATACCTTACAAAGGGTAGAGTTGAGTGTTTGCAAATGAATGATGAAGGGAGTGAATGCAAGCTTGTAGGGTTCTGTCCTTTCTCCTGATCTTAACTACAGATCCCAAAAGCCAGTTATTTGCTAAAAACCTTATGTTCACCTTTTAAACATATGAAGGTTTGTATCCAGGTTTCAAGTTGCCACCCGTGGTTAATTCTTGCGAATGAACTTGATTTGGACTGATACTACTCTAAAAAGTTTACCCATAGCTCTTTTGGGAAGGTCCAATTAGAAAATATTAACCAGGCATTTTACTTCCTCTTTGAGAGCTAAATCATTTCATTTAACAGCATCTACAGCTCTCAAAACTTTGGCAGACTTTGTGAAAAATACCATATTAACTTTATTAAAAATTCATCATGTATTCTCCTTGTTTCGTTTCTACTACATAAACTCCCTACTGATACAGGAAAAGCTCTGTTGCTTTTTGTTTATTTATTTTTAATAGTGTGGGGTGTCTTTTCCTAAGAATGCAAAAACACATGGTTATTACATTTGCTAGGAGAGAAAAGGCCTGCCCTTTAAAATGATATTGTATAATGACTGCTTTCCACCACCACTCCTCCCACCCAAAACTAATGGGGAATGGAAGTAGGGGAAATTCTTGGTCATTTTTGCCTTGAGACCGGTAAGTTACCATTCTCATTAGCATGAAAAATTAACAAGCTTTAGTAATTTCCTTTAAAAAAACAAACACAACAGGGTGGGGTGGGGTCAATTTCAAAAACTTGGCACAAAGTTATCCAAGGAATTTCTTTCTCTGAATCTGCTTCTTAAGAACCCAGATTGTTCTATAAAGTCATCCAGCAGTATGTAGACTTCAGGCACTATCTACCAGAGTAAACTCAAATCAAAAGAGAATCCCATCTTTTTCTTGAAACCCTCCTGCACACCCATGTCTCAATCTTCCTAATGGCTTGATCCATTTTCCTTCCCTGGAAAGTAAGTTTATTAGCTCAGGGACTGTCCTCAATGGAAGTGAAAAAAAACCTACTGAATACCTTTAGGTCCACTGCTGGCTGGTTATGGACTATTCCCCAAAGTGATGGTTCTTCTAATGCTTATGAGGAGCTTTCTCACCCACCTCATCTGATCAGATAACTGAGGTTAGTTAGTTCAGGCCTTGCAAATCATTTAGTACCAGAAAAATCCACTAATGTGCCCCTGACCCTATAGCACTTATTCACAGGGGTGCAGTGTAGAAGAACACAAGCCCTCCAACCAGAAGCCCTATGTTTCTTCTCACCTTTCCTGGTACTCAAAACTCTTCCTAGCAGTAAAGAGGCGATCCCCAGGAGCTCTGGTGAGTATGAGGCATGGAGCTGGACAAGAATTTGGTTCTCTCACCTTTGTTACTTTAAGTGTGACCCATGGACCAGCAGCATTGCTATCATCTAGGAATGTGTTGGAAATACAGAGTCCCAGGCCCAACCCTAGACCTGCTGAATCAGACTGCACTTGAATAATATCCCCAGGAGATTCAAAGGAAGCACATCAAAGTTTGAGAGGTGCTACTCCATAGTAGCATCTTCATATGTAGAGTCAAATTCATTTATGACGTGCTGACTTCATGCCAAACCCCACACTAACATCACCTGCAGTAGAATTACACTGAGAGATACTCTTGTGACCTGACCAAAGTGGACTTTCCCTTCTGCTCATCAAGTCCAATGCAATGATATAAGAAGCAGAAACACCGATGCCCAGTGAATGCCTTGTATAATCTGGAAGGTATGTGGTAGGTTGGTTTTATTTTATTTCCCTTCTGAAATTCTTACTTATTCTGAGATTATTGAGTGGTAATATGGAGGAAGACGGAATAATGAAATTACTACCTCATCTAAAAATCAAAGGTAGCTTCCCTGCTTTTTCCATAAAAAGGTTTTCCACAAGAATCATGGGTGCAGGAACACAGCAGTTACTTCACATCAGGGTTCAGAGGGGAGGCAGCCTGCCTGGGACCAATCAGAGCTCTACTTGCTGCCATTTGTACAACCTTGACAAGTAAGTCAACATCTAGGCTTCAGCTTCCTTTCCTTTAGAATGGAAATAAAGGGACTCAGTGGTTGAACCTCTGACTTCAGCTCAGGTCATGATCCCAGGGTCCTGGGATCAAGTCCTACATCAGGCCCCCCGCAGAGAGCCTGCTTCTTCCTCTATGTCTCTGCCTCTCTCTCTGTGTCTCTCATGAATAAATAAAATATTTAAAAATATAAAATAAAATGAAATAAAATAAAATAAATAAGTGAAAATAAAAGCAGTACCTATTTCAAAGACTCCTTATGAGAACAAAATGATACTTGTAAAGCCTGGCATATTGTGAGCACTCAGTACAAGTGACCTATGATAATTACACATAATATTGTGTGTCAGTGGAACCTAAAACCATTGTGGCTCTTGCAACAATTTCCTCTTATGATTGATCTAGATATAGTAAATCAACATAAAGAAATGAAGAGTCAAAAAAGACAGACTTGAGAAAAGTTTCACTCTATGAAAACCATGGTAATTCTGGATGTTAGCAAAAGTGGCCACCATCTTTCACTTCAAATTCCAATGCGTGTGGACTCCAACTAAGCGTCCAGAGTCTGATCAGCCATGAAGAAATGAACACTACTGGCCAGGAAGGAGGAGTCTATCTTAGTCACCCAAACCTCCATCTCACAGCTGCCTCTGGTGAGCTCACTAGCCAGATGTCTGTTTACCAGGCAAAGTAACTTTTTAAAAGACAGAAAGAGAAGCAATCATTCTGTACTCTCTTTTTAAACTATAGCGCATTGTCATTCCTCTCATGATAACTGGCCAAAGGACAGATCTGATTTCTTTTGCCAGATTTTATTTCAAAATAAAGCACAAAAACATATCATGCTTACTATCCCACCCTCGTTGTTTTTTTAAATCACTTAAGATTAATATATCTCCTTTTGAGAAACCAACCTCTACCTCTCTTTTCCTAATTAGCCTCAATAAAGATATAAGAATAACCATTCAACTGGACAAGCCACGCTGAAAAACACCCTGAAAGCCTTGAAAACTAAAATGAAGACAAATGTATCACAGCACTTGATTCAAGTGGGTTTTGTTTTTCTTCCCAAGTGACTGACGGAACATACGGTAAGTTTAAAATATCCAAGTATTTCTGGAGTTTGGAGGAAGATATTAAGTTTGTATAGCCTTCAAAAAAAGAGTGTGCTTTGCAGCCATGCATTTCAGATGGACAGTATGATACTCTCACCAGCTGCATCATCCTGGGAGTACACGTTTTCAGAGGAGGCCTCTTTTTAGTCAAGTGTAATCCAATAAATTAAAGGAGGGTCAGGATATATGGAACTCTCTACTCATGCAGTGAGGACAGTTGCAGGACACTACGAGACTTCTCTCTGGTTGTCTGACACTTTGTCTTACCTGTCAGAGAGCAGAGGCCCTGGGGAGATCATGAAAATTTCAAATATATTCTCTACCTCTAGTCTTCTCACTTTCCCTCCTCCATTCAACACACATCAGCCACCTCCTAAGGCTCAGCTAACGGTTCACCTAAGACGACTTACCTGTCAGTTTTCTTGATCAGGATGGCCCTGAAGATGTGCTCGAGGGGTGTCTTCTCCCGTTCATGGGTTGGCTGCACGAAGGGGTGCAGTGCCACTAGTGCGAAGCCCTGTTGGTACAGCTCCAGGAGCTGGGCGGGCAGGTCATGCAGGGAGGCCAGCCTCACCGCTGAGGACCTCGGGAGCTCCGCTGGAGGTAGAGAGAGGAGAGGCTCATCAGGAAAGCCACACCAGGGCCTGCCCTCCCCATCCAAGTCCTTCTTCCCTTGCCCTTGCACACTTCCAGGTCACCTCTCCCTAAAAATGAGTTTATTCCTGTCTTAACTACTGTCAAAGAGAACTTAAAACAGCAGATTACTTTCCAACTCATCCAAAGGGGTTGTCATAATTGGATGTTTTAAACCAAGAGTCAATCTTCTCAGAGATCACATTGGAAAAGTCATTTCCACCCTCTCAAAAAATAAAAAAAGAAAGAAAAGAAGGAGGAGGAGGGAAAAATGACAACTACATGCAAATATAAAATTCCCCAGCTGGCAAAAAGCAGCACTGACAAAGTCAGAAGAGAAACTGGAACAAAATTTCTGGGACACTTAAGAGAAAGGGGTAATTTCCTTAATTTGCAAGGAAACCACTGAAACAGCGAGAGAGAAGAGACGGGGGGGGGGCGGGGAAGGAAGGAGGAAGAAAAGGGGAAGAGAGGGAGGATACAGAAGGAAAGAGAAAGGAAGAGAGAGGAAGAAAGACAAAATATACAAAGACGCAACTACCTAAAAAACAGAAAAAGTTAATTAATATTTGGGAAAAATCTCAGATTAACTCCACATTACAACTATGCAAGAAACATATTTTTTTCACCTACTGAATTATTTTAAGATTTGAATTTAAAACAATTTTTTGAGATGGACAGACATAATACCATAGATTATTACCATAAGTAATGTTTATGAAAAATACCACTCCTACATAATTTCACATGGATGTACATAGAGTACATCATACCCAGGGATTCCATACCTAGGAATTTGCTGGGCCAAAGATAAAAGTATTGTACTTTTTTCATATATGGCCAGATTTCTTCCACAGAGTAGCATGGATTTACCTCCTATCAGCAATGTATAAAGGCATTCCTTTTTCCATGTCCTGGCTAATTTCATAGTGAAAAAAATGATCTCTATTGTGGCAATTTGTATTTCTCTTACTACATAACTTACATTTTTTCTTACTGAACATCTCATGTTTAAATACTATCTGTGTCACCTTCTCTATTAACTGTTCATAATCTTTGCCTAGTTTTCTATTGGGTTATTGGTCCTTTTCTCTATTGATTTGTCAAAACTCTATATATATTAGGAAATTTAGTTGTCATTGCAATAGCTTCCCCAAATTTATTGTTTTTTGACTTTGCATAAAGTGGGTTTTGTCATAAAGAATTTTTTTATGAAGCTAAATTACTCAATATTCTATGATTTTTTAAAGGTTTTATTTATTTATTCATGAGAGACAGAGAGAGAGATAGGCAGAGGCAGAGGGAGAAGCAGGCTCTACGCTGAACAGAGAGCCTGACATGAGGCTCAACTCCAAGACCTGAGGATCATGACCTGAGCTGAAGGTGGAGGCTTAACCAACTGAGCCACCCAGGTACCTGTCTTCAATGACTTGAGTTTTATGTCATAGCAGAGAGATCAGGGATCATAAAACAATTCTCCTGTTAAGACATATTTCATTTTTCGGATGTGAATCTTTGAGCCAATTTGGAATTTATGCAATATGAATTCAACACCCCACCGCCTTTTTCTCATTAATTTGAGCTGTCACCTTTATCATATATTCTTGAACGTATAAATTTATTATTGTGATCTATTAATCTGTTTTAACAATTTTAATGTCATGTTTTAACATCTGGTCAGGCTATTTCCTGAAACTTATTTCCTGTTTAGTTTCTGAATCTTCCTTTTTTTTTTTAATGGCCTTTAAAACCAACACATCAAACCTTCCTTCCAAAAAAATCTTATTGGTATTATTATTGGATCATGTTAAAACTATAGCTTAACTGAGGGAGAATGGATATCTTCATCACACTGTAAGTTCCCATCCAAGGACAAGGATAATTTTTGTTTACTCAAGATTTCTTTGGGGTCCCTCAGGCACATATTAAAGTTTTCTTCACATAGATATTGTACACTTATCAATTTCATTCTTATTTATCTTACTTTTATTGGAGTAATAGATTTTTTTTTCCCTTTTTACTCCTATGCTACCCATTCAGGCAAGAATGTTGGGGAAATAGCCATATTCATCATGGTGATGTGGTGAACTTCTCTGGAGGGCAATATAGTGTGTTTGTCTTCAAACCTAAAAGTACACACACCCTTTGTCCAACAATCCCACTACTAGGTATTTTGCCTATGGCTGGACTCATGATGTTAATCAAGATATACGGACAAATATACTCACTACAGGCTTGCTCCTATAGCAAAAACTTGAAACCAAATAGTTCTTCATTGGAGGGCTGGCTAGCTAACCACTGGGACACCTCAGTGATGAATTCTATGGGCCATTTAACAAGACTAAGATAAATCTGTTATGTACCGATAGAAATGAATCCAAGGTAAGTTTTTAAGTTAAGACATGACGTGTCAAACAGTGTTTATGATAGTCTTGTATAAAAATAATTAGAAAGATAGGGAAGCCCTGGTGGCTCAGTGGTTTAGCGCCGCCTTCAGCCCAGGGCCTGATCCTGGAGACCCAGGATTAAGTCCCACATCAGGCTCCCTGCATGGAGCCTGCTTCTCCCTCTGCCTGTGTCTCTGCCTCTCTCTCTCTCTCTCATGAATAAATAAAAATCTTAAAAATATATATATATAATTTTTTTAGAATAAAACTTTTTTTCTGAAATAAAAAATATATGAATGTAGGAGAAAGGGGCTGGAGTATAGACGGAAGGAAGGTGGTTTTTATTTTGTACTCACAGTACTATTACCATCCACAGGGGCCATTGGGTGGAGGGTCTATGAGATATTTTAATTTTCTTATTTATATGCGAAAACATTATTTAAAAGTTTCGCATATATTTCTGAGAATAACGTATTATTTTTTTTAAGATTTACTTATTTATTTATTTATGGTAGACACAGAAAGAGAGAGAGTGAGGCAGAGACACAGGAGGAGGGAGAAGCAGGCTCCATGCTAGGAGCCCAACGTGGGACTCGATCCTGGGACTCCAGGATCACGCCCTGGGCCAAAGGCAGGCGCCAAACCGCTGAGCCACCCAGGGATCCCCCAATGTACTTTTTTAAAACACAAACCTGGGCACCTGGGTGGCTCAGTCGGTTAAGCGTCTGACTCTTGATTTCAGCTCAGGTCATGATCTTAGGCTGCTGGGATTAAGCCCTGCATCCGGCCAGCTCAGCACACAGTCAGCTTGTCCCTCTCCCTCTGTTCCTCCCCATGCACATGCACATGTACACTCTCTCTCCCAAATAAATAAATAAATATTTAAAATAAATAAATACATAGATAATTAAGCACAAACTAAAAAACTAAATCTAGGGCTACTTAAGAATACTACTTAACATCAGCTACTGCTCTCATTTCCATACATCATGCAAGGAATTTACAGGAAAAAAAATCTATAGCAATGATTCACTCTAAAGCAGTGCCCAGCATCCTGGAGAAATCTCCATTAATAACAATGACAAATAGAAGACTGGCCAGGAAAGTGTGCAGTCTTTTCCCTTGAAGTGTACATTCTGGATATGTAGCTAGTCAAAAAAATCTAAAGACAGGTCTGGTAAAAAAAATGCTGAGCCCCTCTGAATTCCCATGCAAAGAAACCCGCCAAATACCTCCTTAGACCCAGGCAAGGGGACTCCTACCCTGGACCCCTTGCTTTAGAGCAAGGGTCCTCCAAGTGTGCTCCTTAGTCCACCAGCAGCACCAGCAACACAGAGAAATTCATTAGAAATACAGACTCTAGGGCTCCACCTCTGACCTGCTGACTCAGAATCTGAGTAATCTACACCTTCATAAGCCCTCCCAGGAGACTGAAGCTGAGAACTACTCTGCGGAAGGTTCCTTTGGCTCTCCTCACCACTCTCCTTTCCTCTCCCCTTCTTGGGAGAGGAAACCAGGGACCTAAGTAAGACATGCACCAACCTGTCATCCACAGCCCAACCTCACATAGCAGCCAAGAGCTTGGAATTCCCTGACCTTACAACCTCGGGCCCACCATGCAGTTCTGAGCAGCCTTCTTCAGTCTGCAGCAAGGTGGATGGTGCCCCTGTGCGCACCCCCAGGCCCCAGGCAATCAGGAACTAGGGTGTGATAATCTGTGGGGAGACACTGCCACAGGAGCAAAATTTAAGGGCCACCGAAAACTCAGTAAGCAAGATAAATAAAAATGTAACACAATATGTTAAAAAGTGAAAATTCATGCAAAATCCATAATAAAAAATATCAAAACTTTTCATAAAGAGAGGATCAATATTACGATTTTTTCCCTTTTTCCTTAAGCTCCAATATGGCTTAATACAGCACTTTATTGATCTTGTCTTTTTAAAAAAATGTTGCCTCACCTGCCTCACCCTAATGCTGGCTCATGTCCAGTATCTCTTGCACTCTTGACCTGGGCCCCTGCAAATGATAGAAGCAGGTCTGTATGTAGGTTGTGCCCAGAGAACAGGGGCAGGTTTCCTCTGCTGTCAAGAGATTACAAAGTGGCTGACCTGAACAAGCATCACTGTGTGTGGCATAGACGCTGGCTGTTTCGTTTGCAAAACCGAACAGACTTTTGGTAGGTGGGTAAGCCCTTTACGGAGGGTAATTTTACAACGTCGATCAAACCTAAAAATACCATGCAGCATTAAGCTGCCCCCTCTTTGATGAAAGCATATATGAAGAGCATCTGTGAGTCAACCAATATGAGACCACCCACTCAGCCGGTCTCCACAGCACAGTGTTTTGTAAATGTTTCAAGTATTTCAAATTCTTACTGCTATAATAAAATAAGCCTTTACTAAGATTCTGATCATTTATAGATTTGTTCCCCCTTATACATTATGCTGTAATAAAGAAATAAAAGTAGTTGGTGTCTTTAGAAGACTTGGGATTCTAACTACATTCCTCACTGGTATTAATCCTGGGCATGTGAACACCCAGTTTCCTTGTTTAAGATGGACATATTAACATCAT